AAATTAAGGAAATTACTGCTTACACTTTAATGTGTAAAAGAGTGTATATAAAGATTAGGAAAATTTGTTCTACTATGTGTACATTAAATGTGCTTTTTTTGTACAAGTGTAAGCTGGTGGATATTCATTTGATTGTTATGATCCTATGGTGTAGATATACTTGTGCTTGTGCTGCTCCATGAGCTAAGATGAGTGGCAATCACTATTATCCCCCTTCACACTCACGGTAGTGGTTGTACTGTGAGTTTGATGCATAATTGGTGAAACCTGGAAGTTGAAAGAGACTTCGTTAGAATGTATGTCGGTTGCTCTTGAGAGGCGATGGGCATAATGTGAATGTGGCAAGCTTGAACTTGTTCTCAAACGAAGTGATAGTCGATCTCTATATGCTTAGTTTGAATGTGAAATACAAGATTATTGGCAAGTGCGATTTTTGAGATGTTGTTGCAATGAAGATCCATGGGTCATAGCAGAGGTATGTTGAAGTCTTGTATAAGTCATTGTAGCTAGATAATAATCTGCAGCAGTAGTGGAGAGGGCTATGTATTCTGCTTTAGTGGAGAAGCGAGCCACTATTGGTTGTTTCTTGATAGTCCATGAGATATGTGTAAAACCCAAAAAAGAGTAGTGTCCTATTGTGGATTGATGAGTGGATGTGTCACTTGCCCAATTAGAGTCAAAGTATGAACTCAGTTCAAGCAGACCTTTGCTGATGGGCAGCCCGTATGCTGCAGTGCCTTTGAGGTAACGAAGTAGATGTTTGAGCAGTTGAGAGTGTTCTTATAAAGGATTGTGCATATGTTGACACAATTGATTTACCACATAGGCAATGTCATTCCTCATTATGGTGAAATACTGAAGTGAACTAGTAAGATTTTGATACAGTTCTGGAGAAAATGGTGGGCCGGAGGACTTGGAGGTAGTATGATTTTTAGCTGGAGTGGGGTTGTTGGATGAATTACACGAAGTGTATACTTCTTTGTGAAGAATGGATAGTACATATATTTCTTGAGATAGAAATATGAAGTTGGATTGGTGGTGAATTTGTATTCCAAAAAAAGTTTGATCGAAGTCCAAGATATTTCATGGAGAAAGTCTAATAGAGGTTGTGAATGATGTTTCTGAGATTTTTTGGAGATGAGCCAATTATCAGAATATCATCGGCATAGATAATAAGATAAATGACTTGTAAGGAATAGGGAGGGATCAGTTTTACTTGGAAGGAACCCGAGAGATAGTAGGTGATTAGAGAATGTATTAAACTATTGCTTATGTGTCTGTTTGAGATCATATATGGCTTTCTTGAGGAGACAAATATGATTTGGAAGGTGCAGATCTTCAAAGCCTTTGAGCTGGTATATATAGATGGTCTCATGAAGTTAACCATGAAGAAAAGTGTTTGAGACATCTATATGATGTATATATCATTTTTGTTGAGAGTAAGAGTAAGCGGTACTCTAATTAAGGGCATTTTGGCAACTGGGTGAAATGTTTCACCATAGTTGAGTCCAAATTCTTGACGATTTTCTTGAGTAATAAGTCGAGCTTTATATTATTGGATGGAGCCATTGAGATGAAGTTTGATATGATATGTCCAATGACAACCAAGAGGTTTATGTGAAGATGGTTTGGATACAAGTGTTCAAGTGCCTTTATGTTGTAGAGCATGAAATTCAGCTTCCATGGCAATTTTCCATTATGGATGTTGGACAACTTATAAGAAAGTGGTGGGTTCAGTTTTAGATGTTGTGGATGAGAAAAGGTTTAGAAGATGGCGAGGTTTTAGGTGATCGATTTTGAACCTGGTAAACATGTTGAGGAGCTTGATTGACATCATTATTAGTGGAAGAGTGAATAAGAGATTGGTTGAGTGACGTAGTGGTTAGGTAGTGTTGAGGGGTTTTTTATTGAAGTATGAGTAATGGATAGTGGAGGTGTTTTGGCAGGTGGTGTTTGGGAGTGTTGATATGAAGGTAATAAGGATGTGGAAGAGTAGGAAGTGGGACTGAGTAGAATTAGATTAAGGGAAGTGGGCTGGGGACTTTGAACTTGTAGTGGTTAAAAAAATGAAAATAGGGATTCATTGAATTAATGTATATGTCGAGATATGAATGTTGGTGTAGCCGATGACCTGCACCGAGAAAAGTACACAGCAATGGAACAGTAGCAGTGCTCTGTAAATGAGGTTTTTGATATATTCTAGATAACTTTTCTCTACTCTTCCAAAGGAGAAGATATAGCCTAAACAAGGATTACTAACTAAGGTAATACTTAAAATAATACTAAAAGCATGAAATTATAAAAATAGTAATGCAAACGGTTAGGGGCAGAGAACGTGGCACATGAGTGGAGAGGGAATATTCTCTGCTATCCGTTATCAGGTATTAGCCGCATCAAATGTTTTACATGAGGATTGATCAATATATTTGTATCCTTTATGTGTGTCTGAATAGCCTAGAAAGATACCTAGAGTGGATCTGCGTTGTAGTTTGTGCCTGGTGGATGGCAGAAACCATGGGAAGCAAGTGCATCCAAAGATGCGTAGGTGATCGTAGGATGGTGTCTGATTAAATAGAAGTTGATGTGGTGATTTGTGTTTTGTGATTGGAGATGACATGTAGTTGATTAAGTACAATTTTGTGAGAGCTGCATTTGGCCATAAATGATATGGAAGATGGGCGTCGTGAAGTAAGGTTAATGTGGTTTCAATGATGTGGCGGTGCATGCACTCAGCTAGACCATTTTGTTCAGGGGTGTATCGGCTGCTAGTTTGGTGAAGAATACCATGAGTTCAAAGAAACAATTTAAGTGAGTGATTGATGTATTCAATACCACAATCATTGCAAATACATTTTATTTGAGATGAGAGTTGTTTTTCAATAAGTTGCTTGAATTGAATGAAAGTATGTATAACTCTTATTTTGCTCTCATGGGAAACATCCATGCATATCGAGAGAAATCATCAATAAGTAGTAAATAATATTTTTATCCTTGAGAAGATATAGTTGGGGAGGGACCCTATATATCATAGTGTAAGAGAGCTAGAGGAGTACATTTGCGATTGCTAGAAGGTAAGAAAGATAATTTGCGGTTCTTAGAGGCCATACAAGAAAAACATGAAGATAATTGAGCTGAAATTTGAAGCTCTTGATTGTTTTTGAAGATAATTATTCTGTTTAGTGTGTGAGGATGGCCGAGACATCTGTTCCAACGAAGGCCGAGCAAGAGAGACATGGTGAGAGCTTTTGGAGTAGACCATGAAGAGAAATGCAATGGGTATAGGCCGTTACGGGTGGGTCCCTGATGGTTATAGTTGTGGTGCTGATCAAGCATTTTGAAACCCAAGGCATCAAAATAAATGTAAAGGTTATTATCATGAGCGAGCTTGTATATTGAGAGTAGATTGTGAGATATATGAGGAGTATGAAGAAGTTGAGATAAAAGTAACTTACATGTAGGAAGAAGTAGTAAGCCTTGTCCGCTATGATGAGTGTATTAATATTGTTTCCAATAGCAACTTGATTAGCTCTTGTGTAGTTTGTCGGTACGATGAGATTTTCAATGCTTGATGTAAAGTGAGATGAAGCTCCATAATCAAGGATCCATTCATTTTGAGGGAGAATGGAGGAAGCTACCATGGCCTTGGGTGTGGAAACAACTGATGGAGCTGTACAGTTGACATTTAATCAATGCCAACAATTCAAAGCAGAGTAGCCTCTTTTGTTGCAGATTTGACATACAGGCGGTGTGGAGGCTAGTTGAGTGTTAATGAAGGTTCGAGGAGAGGTATTCGATAAGAAATGAGGTCGACCTCAAGTTCCTCGTCCATGACCGGTGTAGAGTTGATAAGATGGGTTTTGAGATAGATTCATTTTGGTTGAATCTTTGGAGATATATATATTTTTTAATTTTTTATTTCTATTTTTTTGGAGATATTGATCTCTTCACTGAAGAGAAGAGAAGAAATTGTCAAGACTTATAGGCATAAGTTGGGTGTGGATTGATGTTTTGAATGTTTGATATTGTGGTGGTAGACCATTAAGGATGTATATGATTATATCTTTGGGATCAACAGTGGATCTGACAATTGATATATGATCAGTAAGTGTTTTGATTTCAGTAAGAAATCTGATAATGGATGAGTTTTTCATGAAAATGATGTGTAGCTCATTTTGAGCTGTATAACACATGATCTGTTAATGTCCTGGAGATGGCGTTTAATTTTAAAGTGTTCCATATGTCACAACAGATGTTAAGATGATGAACATATGAGAGAATGGAGGAGATAAGAGTGGAGCATAGAGCAACTTGCAGATTTTGGCTGATGAGAAGTCATAATCTATAAGCAGGGTTTATACTGATGGTGGAATCTTGTTTGAAAATGTTAGGCAGAGGTATTGGGGTTATACCGTAGAGAAATCTGGAGAATCCATTCGCTGAAAAAAGCTTTAGAATATGAGATTTTCATATGGAGTAGGTATCATTTGAGAGTTGTTTGGGAGCTATTATTTTAACATTGGAGATGAAAAATTTTAGAGAAGAAGGGGTGTGAGGATCAAAGGAGTTGAGCTGTGTACTGTCGTTGAGTTGTGAAGTTGCAGACTACTTCATACTATATATGCCATATCGTATCACGACTCAAATACCAAGAAGAAACTAATGCTGCTTACGCTTATCTTATGGAGTATAACAGTAGCAGAATATATGAAAGATAAAGAAAATTACCGTTTACATTTTACTGTGTAAAATAATACATATAAGGACTAGGAAAAAGTCGTTGTAGTCCTTAGGAAAAAGTTGTTGTACTATGCGTGCAGAAATATGCTTTTGCTTTATATGTGTAAGATGAATATTGATTTGATAGTTATGATCATATGATTTAGATATATTTGTGCTACTTCCTGAGCTAAGGTGATGGCACTCACTATTACTTTTACTCTATGATTTAACACTGGGTAGAAAAGCGTTGTAAGCCATGTTGCTGATATTAATGGGCATTCATTCGCTGCTGTAGGTATGATGCTGTAGGGGTGTCTAAGCTCCGGTGCAAGCTGACGAGCTTCGTTTAGCATATCAAAGAACTCTTTGATATTAATTAAGAAATAAGGTAAAAATTGTGTCTTTTCTTTTCTTTTTTTAACTGCGATTCTGTATCTTTCTTTTGGGCACAAGTTACAGTCTGCTTTGAATCGATTCTTCGTTTGTGCAAAGTTGAAAGTCTTCAACCCGCCGAAACTTCTGGCCGAAGAACAAGCTGAAAGGTGGTTGCAGATCGTAATTACTTTTCTGTTTTTTAATTTTTATATTGGCCTGGGAGAATCCTCTTTTTCGTTCACCTGTATTTGTCAGGGGGACCTTGCCTATTTCCTCCAGTCCGAGGTTGGAGCTTGGATATTACGTGCTAAATCGCTCAAAATTTAAATAATTTTATTATAGAAACAGATTACAGATCTTTTACTGTCAATGTTGCGAAAAAAATAAGTATTGGGAGCTCCTGATTTAAAAATGGATAAGAATGAATTTAAACTTATGATGCACATTTTATAAAAAAAAAAAGTTTGAAAGATATTTTTATAAAAAATAAAGGATTCAATTATATTCGTGTTCTAATCTCCTTTTGGCTCTATAATTTGCTATGATTCTGGTTTTGCAACTGGTTTTGGTGTTCATCCATGGTTTCTTTGGGTTTTAGTTCATATAAAGTTGGACAGAACTGTTTTTGGTGAGTATCTGAATTCGATCTATGTGGATCATAAATTGGTAATTCCTCTTTTGTTCTCAGTTGATAGGTTTTTTTCTTCAATCTACAAGATTTGATTTTAGTTTTTGTTTTAGTCTTGAGGCATGTTTCCCTCAAATGTAAATGTTTAATCTTTTTTTTTTGTCAGTAAGATTATTCCAGTAGGGTAGGGTGACTTCCCTGCAATGGAGACTGAGATGCAAAGCCAAGAAGACCTGCAGCGAAACCATTTCACGAAGCAGCTTGCTGCTTGTGTTAGGAGAATACAGTGGACTTATGGCATCTTCTGGTCTAAGTCAAGCAGAGATGAAGGGTATGTAGAAAACTGAATATCTCTGTATCACAATCTCATTTGTTTTTATATTTTCTTTTGCTGTTGTTTTATTTTATTTTACTTCTTTATTGAATGACTTTATGAGTTTTTTTTTTTAAGATAATGGAAATATTGGTTATGATGTTGAACTTTTTTGAGCTTTTTCAAGGCATATTCATGACATGCTTATATGTTAACAGGATGTTGTTGAGGAAGCCTTTTAGGCTGGATCTTATGTTTATCTCTTAGTGAAATATTTGCTAAAATTGAATATGAAGGAGCATTTTAAATCTTTTTGATGGTGCTTGAAATGAACGAAGTCCTTCAGGTTTCATTTAGAATTTAAAGAAATCATTAAAATTTATGTCCTCTTTTCAAAATGAGGGCAGTCATACCTTTGTAGATTGTGTCAAGATTTTGGCTACTTATCATCCGTTTCCATCTCTTTTGCATGGAAAGTGATTTTAGAATTGAAGAAATGTCCTATAATAAAGAGTCCTCCAACGGCTCTTTGTGCTAAAAATGATTACATAGGTTGATTGGACTGGGAAGCATATTATGCTTAGATGGTTTATTATCTACAAGTTATCTTTTACTCTTTGATGTTTGTTTTCTATAGCCTACTATGTAGTTTTTATTGTAATTGCGTTGATGGTTCATAGGTCATTAGAGTGGAATGATGGATACTATAATGGTGGCATCAAGACTCGGAAGACCACTCAACAAATTGATTGTAAAGAGGATCAAATGGATCTACAGAGGAGTGAACAATTGGGAGAGTTATATGAGTCTCTTTGTACGGGTGATTGCAATCAGCAAAACAGGCCGTCTGCTTCATTATCTCCTGAGGATTTGACAGATGCAGAATGGTATTATTTGGTCTGCATGTCCTTCACTTTTAATATCGGCCAAGAGTATGTGTTCTTCAACACCCTTGAGATGTCTGCTTTTTTTGTTGATTTTGTTTTCCTATTTTAAGAATGCATCGGGCTTGTTATGTGATAGAAATGTACCCCTCAAACTTAAGGGAAAATTCTATAAGATGGTAGTGAGGCCTGCAATGCTTTATGGTGCTGAATGTTGGCCTTTAAAAGAGAAGCATAATACTAAGTTAAGTGTGGCAGAGATGAGGATGCTTAGGTGGATGAGTGGCTTTACCCTTAGAGATAGGATACGAAATGAGCATATACGTGAAAAGGTTGGAGTAGCTCCAGTAGAAGATAAGATTAGAGAAAGTCGCCTTAAATGGTTTGGTCACATAAAACGGCGGCCTTGCGATGACCCGGTTAGGAGAGTAGAGGTATTAGATTTGACTTATGTTAAGAAAGGTAGGGGTAGACCTAAAAAGACTTGGTTAGAAAATATTAGGAATGACCTTTCTTTATTAGATTTAAACGAGAATTTGACTTTTAATAGGACACAATGGAGAAAAAGGATTCATGTAGCCGACCCCACGTAGTGGGATAAAGGCTTGATGTTGTTGTTGTTGTTGTTGTTGTTTTCCTATTTTAACTCTTTTTGAATCATCTATTCAATATGCTATCTTAATGGTATTTGTTGTTTAACATTTTGGTGTGATCGAGTCATTTCTTGGAACCAAAATATGTTCTTTTTTCCTTGGATTTACTTGGATATTATTCTAGTAAAAGCATGCTTTAGGGGACGGCATTATGTCCTTCATGTTTTCCATTTTTTTTGGATTATTTGGCCTCATGATAAGCGTGTTGCTACAATTACTGCATAATTCCTATATTCACATTTCGTAAGTTATACAGCTTAAAACTCTTATAAATGTTCTATGATATTTCACCTACAATTTGTGTGCATGCTGCCTCCTTTGGAACTCTAGCTTCTGGGTGATAGGATATGAAGATAAATTTATCTTTTTACAAGCTTCTATCAGCTACCTTTTACCTAAATGTATTTCTTATCATTTTCTATCTAACATCTACATTATGATACCTACCACATTTAAGTATTATATAAAAAAGATGATTTCATTGTGTTGAGGTGTCCTATAACAACACTTTAATAGAAGAAAAGGGAGAAAAAAAGGGATAAAAGCTTATGTTTTAAGCCATAGCAAGGAGAAGCTCTTGCAATAGAGGAGAGTAGAGAGGAAGTTCTCACAATAGTTGTAGCAGTAGCAACATCTTGAGGCTGGACCGCCACAGAGGATCAGTACATGATGGAAGGGACGACTAAACGAACACAATCAGACTTAGGAAAGCACCTCGACGGCTCCTTCCCTGCACTCGTGATCTTCGGGCTGTTGAACCCTACCTCTTCAACACCTGAAAAATTAATCAGGATACAGAAAACAGAGGATGCAGATTCTACCTTTTGGATCAGAAAACTCAAAAACTGTTTTATTTCTGTCTAAGAGAGACTATATATACAAAAATAACAGAAGAAGGCTATACTGTGGTAAGAGCTACATCGCCGACCCACACACACCCAACAACACATATTATTAAATTTTATTTTGAGACGCTCCGGCTGGGAGAAGATCCAAGATTAAAATGAGGGGTAAAGTCAGCTATGTTAAATACAATCAAAATATTGTAATCACCAGGAAGATCAATTTGATAGGCATTGTCATTTATTTTCTTAATAACTCTAAAAGGCCGCGAAAGGTCGCGTAGGAAACCGTTCTTTCCTCCGTCGGATCCGGACGAGGTCTCCTTCCTTGAACTGTACTGATTTTCGGTGCTGATTTGCTCTTGCCTGGTATTTGTTGTTCTGTATGACAATCTCTTCTTGGACTTGCTTGTGTAGTTCTTTTATCTCTATACTTCTTTGTTCTCCTTCAGAATTGTAGGTAGTGGGGATTAATATAGGGATTAAATCAAATGGGGTCAAGGGGTTACTACCATAGACGATCTCGAAGGGACTGTGCCGGGTAGTATTATTGGGAGACCAGTTGAATGAAGATTCAAATTAGACCAAAATCAAATCCCATTGTCGAATATGTTTTCCCACAAAGCAGCCTAGTAAGTTCACCAAGCTCCGATTGACGGTTTTAATTTGACCGTTAGTCTGTGGATGTGCTACTTGGCTGAATTGCAGTCCGGTTCCCATTTTTCTCCACAATATTTTTCAAAAGTGACTGAGAAATTAAATAAATGAAATTGGTTCGTGTGAGATAATGATACCAGTGACTATTAATGCCTAATGACCTTAACTAAAAAAAAAAAAGAAATAATGCTGACACAATAAAGTAATTAAGTGATCATACTAGTGGACAAGAAAAGATGCTCAGGAGAAGTGAGTGGAAAGATGTTGCAGATATTCTCTTTTTTTTTTTTTGCTTTGGTGAAATAAAAGCAAAGCTGAGATGGCGGTTATGGATTGGTGGTAATAAATTGAAAGAAAACAATTTGAAGACACGTTTTAAATGAAGCAGTTAGTTTAAACTATAAAGGTAGGAGTTCTCCTGAAAGGAAAAATGATTCTCTCTACCTAGCAGTTTTCAACTCAAGGTTTCGTGGAGGAAGACGGAGCTATTTGGCCGATGATGCCTGCAGCTGGTTGGAGAGGACCGAGCCTTAGCTGGGCTTCAGAGTGACGAGCAAAAGGGGACGGGTGGAGCAGAGATTCGGGAGTTTATTTGTGGTTACGGGCTCGGACGGGGGAAGCTTGGACGGAGCTTTGTGGAGTGGGAGGTCTGATAAGATTTGGGAACTAGAAGAGAGAGTTTAAGCGCTGAACCGTGAAGTTCTGAGAGCGAGAGGAAAAAAAAAGTCCAAACTCCTTCGTTATGGTTCATTTTATCAGAGAAAATTGAGACGATGCCAGCTACACTTGAAACGACGGAAGGAGGGGAAGCAGGCATCAGTCCTCTCAAATTCATTTTGACGGCAATATCTGCATATTAAAGCCAGCCACGACACAGAGACAAACAAGGTAATACATTTAATTAACGTTTGACTTTTCCTCCATTTGGTAACCTGGCCTTGATAAACTTTATAAATTTGAGCAACCATATTAATGATATGTCTTTAAGATGCTAATTCAAAATGACAGCCATCACTTAATTAGTCCGAAAATTGTTTTAATTAGCGTGTTATCCTCGATTCGCGTGTTGGCTGCCTCGTTTAGCATGTCGATTTTATCGAACATCAAAATTAGACAAATTCATAGTGCATTTAGAGTATTGACAATGTCCCGGTCGCAATGACGTAGTCCGTTCGTCAATCGGAGGTCATTCGAGCATCGTCGAGCCCTCATTTTCCTTGAAATGCGCGTTGCTGTATTAGGACCCTCATCGGTCATGGCATAATTCTATTTTGGACAAATTGGCAATCATTTTAAAGCACTGACGGCATTCAGGACGCAGTGGCGAAGTCCGTTCATCGATCGGAGATCATTTCGCCACCGACGAGGCTAATTTTCCTCGTAATGCGCATTCGCAACATATTTGAATTGCCTTTGGAATTTGCGACACCACCTCAAACAATACAATTTGATCAAATAAAATATATATTATGAATGTCGACGACGTTCTGGACGCAATGACGTTGTCCGTTCGTCGATCGGACGTCGTTTGATCATCATCGAGGCCTCGTTTCCCTCGTAGCGCATGCCTTCGCATCATATTTGAGCCGCCTTTGAAAATTTTCAACACTTTAGACGATCCAAATTTATTAAATAAAATGTATATTCTAAATGTCGGGGATGTTCCGGACGCAATGACACTGTCCGTTCATCAATCGGACTTCATCTGGGCATCTTCGAGGCCTCATTTCTGTCGTAGCGCAGGCCTTTATATTATATTTGCATCGCCTAGAAATTCACCACCATCTCGGATCATCCAAATTTATTAAATAAAATGTATATCCTGAATGTCAACGACGTTCCGGACGCAATGGCGCTGTCCGTTTGTCGATCGGATGTCGTCTGAGCATTCTCGAGGGCTTGTTTACATCGTAACGCAGGCCTTTATATCATATTTTGAATTGCCTAGAAATTCACGACACCACCGATGGCCGTTGCAACAAATGGAGATCCAAAAAGCATTTCAATCATCTCTCTAGAAGTGGATCTTAATCTTTTATAATCATTAGGTCTCTTCTTATTAGCAAATGCATGAGAGTTGAAGAGCTTCAGCACTGACCTTTCTCCAAGCCCTCTAATCTAAATATTTCTGTCTTCTTTTTAATGACCGTTGCAATCATTATTGCAGCTGAGCCCATTCGAATTGTTACCAAAATTCTACTACCAAAACTCCCATAAGCCAAAGGGACGAGCATCTTCTCCTATTTACTTTTATCCTGCTTCTCATCATCCTCCCATTTGTCATCCAGCACGAGTAAGAACTTTTGGACATGATCTCAGCCCAAAGATTATCTTGAAGTGTCTCAAGTGTCTCTAAATGAGGCCTTTCCTTCTTAAGAGATTCCAACATATCTGTAATGACTTTTTTTTTCACATCAAAGTCATTGGCAACACAAACTCACATTTTAAGATCAAATTCCTTTGTCATTTTATCTTTCATAAACATGTTGCAAGAGAGTTGTCTTTCCCATACCACCATGGCCCACTATAGATAGGAGAGAAATGTTTCTATACAAATTAGCCCCATTAATAGGAGCTTGGTGTCCGTCATTTGATTTGCTTCCTCAATCAATACATAACAAAGTCCAATGCAATCCACATTTAATTTGGATCCTTCTTTATCAAATTTAAGATTCTCGGGCTTGTTGTAGGGGTCAACAACTATCAATTAAGAGGACTTGAGTTTGAATCTTGTGTATGCGATGTGTGTGTGAGTTTCCCTTAATTGGCCTACATATCTTGATCGGGCATGAATCTTGAGGAAAAATCAAGTTGAAAACGTCCGACATTAAAATTGGGATCATCCGAACTCTGATTTCAGCAAACTTATAGTCTAACTGAACGTCTCGAGAATACG